TTCCGAATGAAGTAATTTTTTTTTCTATTTTATATTCCAAATTCGTAAATTGCATAATAAATTTGTGGTTTCGAATTGCAAATTTGTCATTATAATACCATTTCAAATTTGTAATGTTATACAAAACATCCAGGAATATGTCTCAACTGAAGGAAGTCAGGTTTGCGCGGATAGTGTGTTGGATTACATTACTCAATTCACAACTGAACAGGTTCACTCTACGAAATTATAATGATTGTGTTTTGAATTCACAACTGGACAGGTTCACTCTACGAAATTATAATGATTGTGTTTTGAATTGCTCAACAAATGCAAATGTTTTATAATATTTATTTGACTTTGTAAGTATTTAAAAGTAAGGATGAATTGCTTAATTGGGTACGTGAAGTTGGAAAGAGAAATGGTTTGGTCATTGTAATCAAAACATCAGACTATAGTGGAAGGAAAAAAATACCCAGGATATATCTTGCTTGTGAGATGAGTGGTCAATATAGAGCGACAAAGAAGTTAAAACATGATTGCAACAATACATCAAGAATAACCAGTACGAAGAAGTATGGTTGTCCTTTTGATATGAGGGCTCACAGGTTTACCACAAATGATGAATGGACATTGACCGTAGTATGCGGATTGCATAACCATCCACCTGCGGAGCACCTTGAGGGACATTCATATGCGGGGAGGCTGTCAAAGGATGAGAAAGCATTGTTAATGGATATGTCAAAGAGCATGGTTAGGCCAAAAGAGATCCCAGTAACCTTGAAACAGCAAGATGCCCTCAATGTAAGCACACTTAAAACCATTTACAATGTACGCCATCTATAACAACGCAAATTTTTAATTATTCTGTAAAATTTATACTAATATTATTTAATCATAATTGAGAAAATATACGATTTATTTTGTATTATAATGTGTAGTTTTGTAAAATAATATAATTAGTTTAAGAATTGAGCAAGGTTTAAAATTTAAAAAATAAAATAAAATAAAAAGAACAAACCGAAGCAACACGTAGCCTAAATGATAATTAGGCATGCATAGGTGTAGCTAGTGAGTCACCTTTGGGATAAGCTTGAATTGAGAGGGGAGAATTTGGAGGAGCCACGTGTGTAAGTTGTGACTTGGGTTGCCTCCTATAAATAGGGAGGAGGTGATCAACTATGTGGAAAGAAAAAGGAAAAAAAGAGAGGGGGAGAGGCGCGTAAGTTGTTGGCAGTAGGAATTTATAGTTGGAAGGTTGTGATAGTGGCGCAAGGCTAAGGGTCAATATTAAAGTGAGTTATATTATACCTTGAGTTACCATAATATATTTTACGTATGTTTTGACTTACCATAATTTATTTTATACAAGTTGTATTTTAATAGTTATATTAATACAAGTTATGTTTTATAAATATTTCAATTATGTGGATTAATTTCTGAACTCTATTTGTTTAAAATGAAACCCATGGATATGTTTGTTTAAATTTTAAAGAATATTTGACTATGACCTTATAAACAATTATGTTTTGTAAGTACCACCACGAGAGTCTCACGCCTTGGGGGACTTAAATAACCATTGGCCTCTGTTTGGTCACTTTCTGGTCCTCTGTTGTCATGGATCTATTGACCTCTGTTCTGTGCGGAGCAAAGTGCTGTGCAGAGATAAGTGTTATACTATTGTGGCAGCCACCTCTATAATCCATACGAGCCACCTCTTGAATCCATATCTCTGTTCTAACTGTCACTCCTGTGACCTCTGTTCTGTTCTGTTCGGTACCGTGATTATGGTTATTTATTTACATAATCTCTGTTTTACTACTTAAATGATTATTTGTTCAGACTAATCTTAAATATTTTAGTTACATAACTATCCATGGCTATTTTGTGTCCTTTATACTCTTGGCATAATATTTCTCACTCTGCCATGTGCTTATAGTTGTTTACTAATTTTTAGGAAACAGTACAATTTAGAAATAGCTTTTGGAAAGTCTTAGACGCGGGGCTGTGAAATAGACACACACAACACTTTTATGATATTTTTTATATGTAAATATCGACCTTTTTGGTCAATAAATTTTGTAATGGAAATAGAAACTCCGATGATTATTTTGGTACCCTCACTTAAATATTTTTTCCGCTTGCGTTTATTTATTTGTTTAAGAATTGACCGGAGGTAACTTCAGTTACTGACCATCACGATACTTAACCCTTAGGTACGGGGACCGAGTCGTGACACCATCGAAACAGGGTGATACAGAGAGCTGTAAGATCACAAATGCAACATTTATTGGGTGAATTGGCCAAGTATAATTACATTGAGCGCCATCGATGTGAAGAGTCCACGATGACTGTGACAGACTTGTTTTGGGCACATCCTACCAGTTTGGACTTATTTCGGTCTTTCCCACGTATATTGATTATGGATTACATATATAAAACCAACAGATATCGTCTTCTTCTTCTTGAAATTGTGGGAGTGACATCAACTGAAATGACTTTCTTGGTAGCTTTTACATACTTACAATCTGAGAGGGCCGATAACTATGCATGGGTGTTAGCTACATTGCGTGATGTCATGAATGGTTTTGTTTTGCCAGCGATTATTGTCACTGACAAAGAGTTAGCCTTGATAAATGCCATACAGAAGATATTCCCGAGTGACAGACATTTATTATGTTGTTGGCATATCAGTAAGAATGTATTAACTAAATGCAAGAAAATGTTTGAGACAAAGCAGAAATGGGAGAAGTTCAACCATGAGTAAAACTCTTTAGTTTATTCATCTTCTGAAATTCAATACAATAAGCGTCTTAGATCATTACTTAAAGAATTCAGTAGTTATCCCGATGCAGTGAACTACGTCATAGATACTTGGTTAGTTTCTTACAAGGAGAAATTTGTGGCGGCATGCACAGACACGTGTATGCATTGTGGCAATGTTACAACCAACCGGTAAGATTACTTTTGTTCAATAAGTTATTAATAAGTGCCATGTACTTGATTTTTTTACTTACATTGAATTGAACAGGGCTAAGAGTGCACATGCAAAATTTAAAAGATAATTGAGTTCATGTCAAGTCTCATTTGAGGTATCATTTGAGAAAATACATAGTCTGCTTGAGTTGCAGCACACTAATATCAAGGCTTCGTTTGAGAAAAGTTTAACTGTTGTGCAACATCAATTCAAGCCTTCTCAATTTAGGGAGCTACGAGATAATGTGTCTATTTCTACATTAGAGTATTTGCTTGTAGAGAGTAAAAGAGCCAATTCCATTGGTATTGATGTTGAAGCTTGTGGATGCATGCTTCGCCACACTCATGGTTTACCTTGTGTTCATGAGATTGTTGACTACATCAGACAAGATCGTCCTATACCACTTGCTACCATACACTCATAGTGGAGGCAACTTCATATCCCCATATGCAACAAAGAAAAGGAAACGGAGGTGACTTGTCATGCAGAAGTAGAGTTGTTTATGAAAAAATTCAATAAAAGTGATAGAACCATGAGGTTGGAGCTTTTAAAGAAGTTGAAAGAGATTGTATGTCCGGGAAGCACTTTTCTTGTTAAGCTGGAGGTGAAGCCCAACACACGTCCTCGGGGTCACAAGAAGATCAATGTTTCTACCTGTCATGACCCTATGTGCATTTGAGTTGGTGCAATCTGGGCATGATTCCTTCTCACCTAGGAACACTCAAATCACTACATTAGCTTCTACTCCGGAAACCAAGAAGAAGTGACTTGTTAAGGGAAAGAAGAAGGTGAATGCGAAGAGGAACGTGTACATTACCAGAACAGTAAAACCTGGTGCATATGTTGATGTTTTCCCTTCTGGGTTGAAACCATACATTAAGTTTGCCAAGGATGTAGCTACAAATGGGAATTGTGGTTTCAGGGCTATAGCTGCTTCAATTGGTCATATAGAAAATGATTGGGCTCAGGTTAGGCGTGATCTTTTGGGTGAGCTGCACACACAAAAAGAGGAATACATTACACTCTATGGGTCCTACAAAAGGTTTAAAGAATTGACAAGCATTGCCATACTTTGAAGACAGTCTTGGCTACTTACATTGGATGACTATGCCAGATATGGGGCATCTTGTTGCATCGTGCTACAATCTTATGTTTTACCACTTGTCATTATAGCAATGTCTCATCTTTTTACCTCTTAAAACAGTGCCAGTACCTCAACTTGATAGACGTGAGATTGCCATTGGGTTTGTCAATAGAAATTATTTCGTACAGCAATGTCTCACGTTTTTGCTCCTTGCGCTGTTGACTGGGATGATGCATATGTGCGCCGCATTCAGCATTTCAAGGATATCATTCATGATACTATAACTATTCGAGAGACAATGTTGTTGATGTCGAATGACACATGTATGCATTTGACAATGTTAGAACTATAAAAGAAATTAATAGATGTGTTTTTTGATGTTAATGTGTTCTGTGGCATGGATTGAATGTTATCGACCATTATTACCACTACATTCTAATAAGAAAATATCATTTAAAATGTCATCGACCATTGTTACCATTCCATTCTGTGGCATGGATTAAATGTCATCGACCATTGTTACCACTATATTCTAATAAGAAAATATCATTTACTAGGTCCAACTTCGTCAATTTGCTGACCTTCAAGGACATGCGCCATAGCCTCGATAGCCTGGTAAAGTCGATGAGGATGTCAAATCCCGTCTTCATAACTAGCCTGAATGATAGGATGTGCAACTCTCAGTGCATGTGTAATATGCTGCATTTGAAAAGAATATCACATTGTAGAGAACATATTAGAAAAGCAAAAGTAAGTTACAAATGCATAAAAGAGAAAATATATTACATCAGCATGTTGGCTGAAATCCTGATGTTCATGCACACGTGGTCCATCAGTGCGCTCAATATATAGATGCGTGATATTCTTATACCAATCCATATAACCCGGTACGCATTCCCAAGGCTGACGAACTGGTGTGCTCCTCCGTTGCTCAGATAACACGTGGTTATCCCAAGCCTCTCAGATCCTATCCAAGTATCTATACATGACTGTATATCGTGCAGATATGTTGCCTTGAGCACCATGAGTGGGAGCCAGTGGTGCATTTGGGATGGTTTGAACCTTACCAAATTGCCTCAGGACTCTATCTGGATAATAGGGTTCGACCACGTCTAAGCACTTCAAGCATCCATGGTAGAACGTAACCGGGTTACATGGATGCCGATCTCTACAACTATGGTATGGATCCCAAATAACCTATGAACGTAAAGTGTTTTTGAATTAAAGTATATAAAGGGTAAGATAAATGGAAAGTGTTAAAATTATCTCAAGACGAGCAAACTTACATAAGTCGCTACCAAACTATCAAGCTCCACTCGAAAAGATTTCAAATGATCAATAGAAGAACCCACATCTCTCCTAGATGTCCAATGGTACATGTGTGGCATGTTTTTATTGTAGCCCATGTTCTGGTGAGGTCAGAATGCTCGAAAGTGCTCATAAATCCACATCTCCAGAAGAGTCGTATAACCACCCTTCTGCTTAACACCGAACCAGCTAGCATACCCTAACTGTATGTATAAAATGCTAATGCAGCAGCACCCCAAGCGTATGTATGAATGGATCCTCAATCCATCAATAAGCCAAGGTAAACAATAAGAACCCTGTCGTCACTCTTGTCACTAATGAGCATACATCCTTACAAAAACAACAAATAAGCTCTAGCAACGCACTGTATAGCCTCTTCTGGGTTTGAATCTGTGACACTAGCAAACTGACTTCGCAACCACTCAAGCCTGACTGAATTCCCACCAGTAGTAGAAACCTCGTCATGTGCTACACGTTCAGTAATCTCCAAGCCAGAAACCAATAGTGTAACTCCATGAACATCCGTCACATCTAGTACGCTGATTGATCTGCCTATAATGGGAAGGCTAAGAATAGTGCTAACATCATCCAAGGTTAAGGTCATCTCACCAACTGTCATATGAAATGAGTTTATCTCAGGTTGCCATCTCTCAACAAAATTGGAGATTAGAAGCTTGTTGACGAACCAATAAGTGCAACGAGCTAACTGTGACAGCCTAGACCGCTCAATAATGGCTTTGAATCTCGTGTTGTTGTCTACTAACCACCATGGCCATGCAAGGATCTTCGAAGAGTGATTATCACACTTTAGGGGCCCTCATTCCTATAAAACAAATGAATATCTCATTAGAAACTACCATATAACACACATACACAAAAAAAAAAAAAAAAAAATCATATACAAATGAATTTCTCTTCTACTTAGGAATGTTTACCTCCCTATGCCAAACAGCTGCAGCAACATGACTATTGAAACTCCGCATATTGATAGATCAATCGGTCCACCTAGAAAAGCATGAATAAGGTCCTCTTCTTGGACAGTAGAAGAATTGGGTAAAGAGGCATCCTCCACGGCAATGTCAGGCATATCATTACCTTCAACTCGTCTTTGGCTTCGGCTCCGACTTTGATTGGCACTAGGGATATCATATTTTACCGAAACTGGATCACGACCTCAACCACGACCCCGACATCATCCTTGCCCACGCCCTCATCCCGTTTATGGCTAACATTCAATTCACGATGTCGTCTATTTGAAGTAGTAAGTGGGACACGTTGTTGACATTTAGAATCCATATTATTTGCAAAAATTAATATATTTAATGAGTATACAATTGTAAAAAGAATATACAAAAGAGGAGAGAAAAAAAAAAAAAAAGCCAAAACTGTTCGAAAGTTGAAAACCTAAAATATCTATTCTGTTCAAAAGTTGAAAACCGAAAAGCCAAATTCATTTCGAAAGTTAAATGTTGTCCAAATTAAACATATTCGGAAGTTGAATGTCGAAAGAATGAAAAAATTTCGGAATTCTACTATTGAAATAAATGATAATTTTCAGAATGTAGTCCGAACAAGTTGTTTATTTTTGGAAAACCAATTCCGAATGAGGAATAAATTGCTCATTTCGGTGGGCTATGCGTTCGTTCGTTTCGAAAATGGTAAAAACAAACCCTACATTACAAATGAAATAGAAATGAGGATTGAAATAAGTAAACTAACCTTAAGTTATCCAAATGTGAAGAATTCCTTCAATAGTTCAATGAGATTCTTCAATGCTTCAATGTGATGTCTTCAATAAGCTTTTGGGGATGACTTGTGTGAGAGACGGACTTGTGTGAGAGATTGACGTGTGTGAGAGATGTAGCTTCAATGGGTGTGTATTTGCACCATCAGAGAGCTGGGTTTGCAGTCTGGGTGTGTGTGTGTGTATGTGTGTGTGTGTGTGTGTGTGTGAGGATAGATATGGAATAAAAAGTATGTGTAGTGAGTAAAATAATTTGAGATTAATTTTTTAAGTGTGTATAGTGAGAAGGATGTGCAACGAGTAGAAATAATGTGTACAAATAGAAGCTTTCCTAAAATGGATACAATAATTTGACTATTAGTAAGAAACTTATAATGATAAAATTCTCATTTTTTTTTCTTTAGTTTTTGTCAATCAAAAGAAAGTTTATGGGGGTGACCTTGAAATAAATACATTTAATATCGTAATTTGGTTTTTATTAATTTAAATAATAAGATTCATTATTCTATGACCATTAAATAATCAATAATATTAGTGTATAAAAATATTATTTCAAATTTTATTTAGAAACATCAATATATAATTTAAATTTAGTTTGCACTTGGACCATGCTATATATATCAATTGACTCTTGACTACACAAAGGCCCTGTTTGGTAGGACTTATTTTCAGTTTATTTCAGCTTTTAGCTTAATTTAAGTTATTTTGATGTGTTTGGTTCATCTTAACAATACAGCTTATACTTTTTTATAAGTCAAAAATCAACTTATTCTTTGAGTGGGGGAGGAGAAACTTAATTCATAAGTCAAAAATCAGCTTATGTTCACAGCTATAAGCAATAAACTATTAAGGTATAGGTTATAATCACTTTTTCACAGCTCTACGAAACAGGACCAAAGGCCATGTTTATTTATGGATGTGGGAGGTAGGATTGGAGTGTTATGTCTGTGAGCCCCACTCACAGCTTATTTGGTGGTGTTTTAGAAGGGGAGAGTAATAGTCCGACGGCCTGTTTGTTTTAATATTTATTTTAGGATTTTTAATATAGAAATAATTTTTTATTTATTTTATATAAAAATAATTTAATAATTTTATCATTAATCATCTCCTATATTATCATAGTAATTTCTTTACTAACAATTCCTAGATTAACAATATCTTCACTAACCATCTATTTTACTAACAATCTCATTTAACTTAATCCGTCAAACAAACGTATTACACAATAGCATTTTTCCTAAACAATTTGTCAAACCAAACATTGCCTTAACTCCGGTACGACAGGGCTCCGTTCTGGTTCATGTGACGGTTATGATTGGACTGACGCCACTCTCAATCCCCCTGAAAGCCTTCCAAGTAGTCTTTGCACAAGCTTTTACAACAAAAGTTCGCATCTTCCCTCAGAGATTCCCTCCCCCTTCTTCTTTTCTGGATCATCCCCCAATTTATCCTCTCCTCTCCTCACCGCCATAAAATCCACTTTCTTCTTCTCCAAACACATACAAAAAAAGAAAAACACATTCAAATTCATTCGAATTCAAAATAAAATAAATAAAAAATGCTTCGTCTCTGTAATCGATACCGACGCTGTATTCCCTTCTCTCTCCGTCGCCATCGCACTTTCTCAATCTCCTCCCCCTCCTCCCGCCGCCCTGACAATTCGACCCAATACCCCAAAGATCTCAAAAATCCCCTTCCTCCTCCGCCGTCTCCGCCGCCGCCCGCCCTCCTCCGCCACCACTCCTGCACCCTCTCCCCCCTCCCCTCCTCCCTCTCCCTCATCGCCCTCTCCGCAGCCCTAATCTCTGCCCTCGCCGCCTCCTACGCCCTCTTCTCCACCACCGAGACCGAGCCCAATCAGAAATTGAGCCGTATCTACTCCGATTTCGAGCACGCAATTGATCGCTCCAATAACTCTTTGAGGCGAATTCTCAACCGGATGAAGCAGACTGGTGTGGCCGCTTCCGTGCTCTGGAAGTCGCTTAGGTCGGTCATGTCGTCGGCCAATCACGAGGTCCGGTCCGGGTTCGAGTTTAGGGTTGCGGCCTTTCTCGCCGACATTGCCGCCGCCAATGCCAGTCGGAGAGCGGCGATCGTCGGCGCCGGTGGCGGTGCGGTCGTGGATTGGCTTCTTGAGGCGGTGGCGGTGTTTGGGGATAATTGTGGGACTCAGGCTGAGGCGGCGAGAGCGTTGGCGTACTTGATTGCTGATCCAAATGTGTCTGAGGTTGTTCTTGGGAGGCCTTACGCTGTTCCTTATCTTCTGAGATTCATCTTCGCTTCTCAGCCTCAACCATCAAAGAAGGTGAGTGTTTCTTGTGATCTTCTTTTTTCAGATTCTGGAACATTGCAGTATCGATGTGATAATTGTTATATAGGGTTTAATTGCAGCATCTTGAATTTTTGAAAGTAGTGAAATTCAGTTACATAGGCTTCTGAAAGGCTTGATTGTTTTGATGGATCATTGATAATGAAGCTTGGGGAGAATTAACATTAACGTGTTTTTAATTTGTAGCAAACACTATTTGAATCATTATGCTTACTTGGAGAATTCGTAATCTTTACTATATCAATGGTGATTGATGTTTTCTTTTTCTTTAGTTATGGTCTATGTTATGTCGACTTGAGTATGAGGATTGGGTGTGGGTACATGTTCAAACATTAGACCTTTTAGGATACTAGGATATGTGTCAATAGTTAGATATAGGTAATTCAATGCGTCGTGAATGCTTATATATTGCATATTATATAATATTTTTGAATACGAGGTTATAAATTATGTAGAAATTTACTTTAAATTAAATAGAATTTAAGAAAAATATAAAATTTGTGTCTTTCATTTGCTAATTGGGTATACAACCTTACCTTTGTCGGATCCAATAGACAAGGTTATTTTGGAATAAATAGAAGACTCCATGTAACATAGGTTATATGGTATGATTTCATAGTTTCTTTGTTTTGTATTCTTATTTTTATTTTTAGGTAACATGTCCAGCGTTGGCACTGGGCCTATAACATGTTTTTGCAAATAATTTTCACCATCATTTTGAATTGTGTGTGTGTGTGTGTGTTTTTATTTTTTTCATTGATTTATTGCATTTCTGTGGGAGCAGCAGTCAAGACGTACTTCATTCGATATTTCTGATTCTTTGAAAGGTAGGAGCATGCTTGTTGCTGCCCTCATGGATATCATCACTTCCAACTGCGATAGGTTAGACAAGGTACAGCTCAAGCCTTCACTGCCTGGAAATGCTGAAATGAGAGATATTGCAGCAGCCATTGAAGTTATTGAGGAAGGTGGTATGCATTTGGATGATCATCATGGATCTGAAGAGGGGGAAGATGGTGGAAATGGAATGGAGGGTATTGGAATTAAAATTCTTGGAGGTACAACAGTTGTAGGGCTTTCAAGAACTAATGGAGTAAAGGAATTGGAGCTTTCCAATGCTAGTCACTTTGGTTCACCCAACTTTAGTCTTAAAAACCTCTTGTTCAACAAAATAAATAATAGTTCCCAAGAAAATGTGACTTCTGCTGTTGTTCCTGGCCTCTGGGATGATTTGATTTGTCAACATGTTGCTGTGCCTTTTGCTGCTTGGGCATTAGCAAATTGGGCAATGGCATCAGGTGTGAATAGATCTCATATTCAGGAACTAGATCAAGATGGACATGCTGTTATGACTGCTTTAACAACGGCTGAACGATCTGTGAAATGGCACGGGAGTTTGGTGGCTCGCTTACTTTTAGAGGACCGTAATTTGCCCTTAAATGACTCTGTTCCTGATTGGAGTTTCAGTCTTCTTTCTACTGTTTCTCAAGCAAGCAAGAGTGAAGACATTCCTTTGGCACAGATTGCTTTGTCTGCATTTTTGGTTTCCATTGAGAGAAGCCCTGCAGCACAGAAGGTAGTAGTGGAGAAGGGTCTTCATCTGATGAGAGAAATTGCTAAATATGCTACAAAGCATAAGCCCGTACAGGAAGCATTGGCAAAGGTTTTAGAATCACTTTTCACTGGGGACATGCACATGTCTCTCGAAGAAAGTCAAAAGTGGTCGGGTGTCCTGCTTTCTTGGGTTTTTGGAAACTTATCCTCTGACACTATGCGATCTTCAGCTACTACAATTCTTTCTCAGATTTTTGAGGACTATGGGCCATCTTCCATACCAATCTCTCAAGGATGGTTGGCTCTTTTACTTGCTGATATTCTGGGTTCCAGTAAGATGAAGGGAAACACTCAGCCTAAAACAGACAAAGTGAAGGTTTGGTGATACTTCTTTTCTCCTTCATCTTTTTGTTGCCTACAGAGAAATATAATGCTTCTTGTTCACTCTATTCTGTAGCTAGCACAAAAAGTAATATCTTATCAACTTATTTTTCTTCACTGGTTTTAATGGAGTTACTTCATTTTTGCAGACTCAAATAGATCAGGCGAACTTACTGTATGGTCAACAGGTTGCCAATCAGTTAGCAGATGCTGTTGTTAAATTGGCGATAAATCAGCTGGGAACAGCCACCAAGAGTGGTGATACATTCCCTTTAGAAGATCTTCTCAATCTTGAACCCTTTTCTGGTCCATTTAAAAATTTGAAGAAAGATAGTCTGCCTAAATTTGATGCTGCAGATTCTGCATTGGCTACCCTTAAGGGGATTAAAGCACTGACAGAACTCTCTGCTGAAGATTCTGTTTGTCAAAACAAAATAACTGATTTTGGAATCTTGTGTTTGTTAAGGCGCTTTTTGTTGCAAGATGACTACGAGCAATTAGCTGCAGCTGAAGCATATGATGCATCGCGGGCCCAGGAAATGCAAGATCGGGTCTCCAATGCTTCTGATGAGCCTTCAGTTGTAGACACTAAAGATCCTTCTACTGTTCGAGTTCCACCTACAGCTCACATTCGGAGACATGCAGCTCGGCTATTAACCGTTCTCTCTGTCCTTCCAAAGGTTCAGAAAGTAATTGTAACAGACAAAGTTTGGTGTAAATGGCTTGAGGATTGTGCTAGTGGGAGGATCCCAGGCTGCATTGATGCTAAGATTCAAAGTTATGCTAGAGCAACACTATTAAATGCATTTTGCAATTATCCAAATGGTATAATCTTCTCAAATGAAAATGACGCTGACTGTAATTTCCAGAACCAAAACCGTAAATGCCCTTATTATGCTGACATGATGATTTTAATCAATCCCGAACTGCCACACTGGAAGTGTCCTGAAGAATATTTAGACACTGTCGGAAGGAAGCTCACAGAGAATCCAAACTCTGCTGCAGATGATAGCTCATCTAGTCATACTGATGAAACTCAGAGCTGCTCAAAATCAGAGGTTCCTTCACTGGATGTTGTGTTTGTTCATGGCCTGCGTGGTGGGCCTTTCAAGACTTGGCGTTTAGCTGAGGACAAAGCATCAACAAAGTCCGGCCTTGTTGAGAAGATTGATGAAGAGGCGGGGAAGCAAGGGACATTCTGGCCTGGAGAATGGCTTTCAGTTGATTTACCTCATGCCCGCATGTTTAGTCTGAAGTATAAGGTTTGTCCTACATTTTGTACTTGCTTAAATGTAATTCAATGAGTTTCTGCCTTCCTGAACTACCATGATAAGCGCTGCTTCTTAAATTTTCTAGTTTTTACTTTTTGTAAGGCTTTTAAAATATGGAGCCCTTATGCCTTCTCTGTGGTGGTTCTCATCGTTTGTAAATCTGGAAGTGGCCTCTTTGTAGGGTTCCTTTAATGCAACACATCTTATTTCTGATTGAATGTTTTGATGCAGACAAATCTTACCCAGTGGTCTGGAGCTACACTGCCTCTTCAGGTTTGTAATATATCTTGGTTGATCATTATGAACCAACAATTGGGGATATTAACTTTTAAGAAGTTGTACTTCATAATTTTTATGATTCCTGCAGTTTCTTGCTGCGTCTTTCTTCTTTAGTTCTTTTCAAATCAATTTCTGTAGTCAATATTTAATGTACTTGCATTTGGAGTTCTGCAGGAGGTAAGCTCCATGTTATTAGAGAAGCTTGTGGCTGCAGGCATTGGGAGTCGCCCTGTTGTATTTGTGACTCATAGGTTTGTTGATTGCATTTTCGATTTTTTTCTCTGTTAGTTTGGTCTGACAAGCTGACATGATGTTTTGTGACTATCATTAATGTGATTTAGTGGGACTTTAATGAGTCATTTTTGTTTAGGTAGCTTGTTGGAAAGAAATTGGCATGATGTTTTGGACTATAATAAATAAGTCATGTTTGTTGTGGTAGCTTGTTGGAGAGAACTTTCTTTGAGCTATTTGCTACTTAGGAACAAACATTGCAAAAATGACTTTCTTACTAGAATGCAGACCGGAAAAAAAAAAAAGAAAAAAAGAAAAAAAAGAAAGAGTTCGTTTGCATCACAATCTAGAGTTAAGAAGTCTTTAAACATCCACATTGTACGTTTACTAAAGCTTGATATTATAATTGTTTCATATTTGCAGCATGGGAGGCCTGGTTGTTAAGCAGATGCTGTCTCAAGCAAAAGTAGACAATAAAGATGACCTTGTTGACAACACCATTGGAGTTGTATGCTTCTTCCTTTAAAGTAGAGAAATTTTATGCCGCATGTCAACTATTTTTTGCTTAAATTACTGTATTGCTGTTGTCTCAGGTGTTTTACAGCTGCCCACATTTTGGCAGCAAACTTGCAGACGTGCCCTGGAGAATGGGTCTTGTGCTTCGCCCCGCACCAACTGTAAGTATCTGATCCTATATAAACACTAACTTCTTGAAGAATATCCTATTTGATGTTATGTTGTTAATAATCAACATTATTTGCTATTTGGTAGATAGGGGAGCTAAGAAGTGGATCACCAAGGCTGGTAGAGCTCAATGACTTCATTCGTAACCTTCATAAGAAGAGGTTACTTGAGGTTCTCAGTTTCTGTGAGGTAATTGGTGTGGATTTCTATTATCACTTTTACAAGTATTTGAATGCATCTGGGGGTGCATGCACATGTACAATTTTGAGTTTAATTGGCTAACAATTGTTTCACAGACCAAGGTAACTCCAATTGTTGAAGGTTATGGAGGTTGGGCCTTCCGAATGGAAATTGTACCAATTGAATCAGCATATCCTGGGTTTGGCGAGCTTGTTGTAAGTTAGATACTCATATTTTAGTACACCATGAAATTGTTCTTCTTGTTCACTCCGCCTGTTACACACACCATACTGAATTGAATGTACATGGTGACTCTGTTGGGTACAATCCGCCTTTGATCGTGTCTTGTGACACTGAAACGGCCAGTTTATCTAGTTCTCATCATCTTTCTTGTCCATGGAAATTCTCTGTTCTAATAGTTTCTAGTTTTCAATATCCTAATTCCTCGTGATTCAGAATCTTTAGGAGAATGCAAGATATGAAGATAGGATCATTAGGTTGAGACTGCGGAGTATCCTTTGGTCTTGCATAGGATTTGGTGGTGATGCTGTCTTCTCCACAGTCAATACCAAAAATGAGCCTCACATCGCTGTTTCTGAGTTTCATTTCCTTTTTGCCAAGTATACATGCTCTTTTTTTTTTTTTTTTTGAGGGGTGTCATTTTTGTCACATCTATTTCATGGTTGGAAGCAGGTATTAGAGTCAACAGATCATGTAAATTCTTGCAAGCCTCTCAGTCGTAATGATCCATCCTATACAGAAATTTTAGATTTCTTGAAGAAACTGATAGCCCAGCAGCACAGATAAAGACATGTTTTGGTCCGAAGTGCGTGCATCAGATGATTGTACATAACCATTTGAGAATCTGGATTCAGCTTCAAGTAGCAATTAGATTTGCCACGGACCTGCCAGTAATAGTGTAGAGTACACTTAGCACATCCATCTGCAGGAGGCGGGGGTGGCCTGCATACCAAGATAACAACACTAACAATGTAGCTGGTGGATATACTGTGATTCTTTCCAACATTGCCTTCAGATTGTATTCATACATACTGTACATTCCTGATATCAAAAAAAGTAAAAAATAAAATAAAAAATCCCACTGTATTTCGATTGTTTCCACCATTCAACCTCCCTTTATTTGTATAGACCCAACCGTGTAGCATTCAGTGTTGTGCTTTGTTTCTCAGCACGGTTCTGCACTTCTATTGACTGTTGCACATATATTTGTCAAGAAATGAGGAGGTAATAGAATAACTTCATACCTTTTTGTAACTGTTTTGCTTTTTTCAAATTTTTTTTTTTTTTGCCTCCTACTTTTTACGTTGCTTAGCAAGATATATTGAAAGAAAAAGAAGACATTATGGTGAAGCCCATGGGGGTCTTATATTCAAATGTGATATGTACAAAGGTGTAGCTCCTCCCCCTTTAAAGCTCTATTTCCTGGAGGTGTGTGAAGTGATCAAAGATGGTGTTGATTTGATGTTTCAGCCAATTATATGGTGCAAATGCAGCTACTTCATACTTGAGGGAGTCTAACCAGGGTGCTAACCATTATAACTATTCTCTCTATTTCAAAATATTAGTCTTTTTTAAAAAAATATTAATTTTTTTATAATACAATTATTATATTTTAAAAATATTAACTTTTCAAAATAAATCTTGGACTTTTTTTTTGGAAAATTACACTTTTTGTATATAAATTTAAAATAAGAATAAATAAGAAATTTATATTATTTTAATCATTAACTTTTGAAAAATAACTAATATTTTAAGATAATAAAATATACGATAAGAAATTAATATTTTAGAACGAATAGAGTATATAATTATGATAGCTCAGTGGTTATGGACTTTAATCAGTATTTATTAAGAGTTAGGTTAAAATAAATAATACTTGCTTGAATAACATTTTCAATGAAAATTGCATTTCATTTTAATTTTTTGAGATTATGATTGAGAAATTATTATGGGGTCGGACTAGGTTTAAACTACTAAATTGTTTTACAGCTCTGCTACAGAGCCCGAATTCCTCCGTCCCGAATGCCCCTAAACCACGAAACGACGTCGTTTCGTGGTTTTAATTTTTTTTTTCGGAGGCGACGGAGGCGGAGGCGCGGCGATCGGCGACGGATCGGAGACGGCGGCGACCCCTCTCCCTCTCCCTCTCCCTCTTTCTCTCCCTCTCCCTCTCTCTCTCTCTCTTCCTCCCCTTCGACCTTCCTCTGCGTCGAAAATGGCAAAAAAAAAAAAATTTGAGCCACATTTGAGCCAGGCATTTCGGGCTCCCAAACATTTTCCATTGTTTTAATGGATATGACCATGTTGTTTGGAAGATAAAATATGAAAATTTTTATCAGCAATGGTAGAGGGCCCAAATTTTGTGGCTCAAATGTGGCTCAAATGGTCAAAACGACGTCGTTTTGAGTACAAAACAACATCAAAATGGCCAAAACGACGTCGTTTTGGCCATTTGAGCCATATTTGAGCCACAGAATTAGGGCCCCCAAACATTTTTCAATTTTTATATACACCATTTTAAAAAGATTTATTTACTTATGGTATTATTTTAATTATAATTTATGAATTTTTAACTACACCCTCATATTATATTTAGCTATGATTTTTTTTTAATTATTAGTTAAAAAATTGAAATTATCTCATTTTTTATTTTATTTTTTAGTGATAAGGTGGCCCATAATATATAGAACCTGAGAATGAGATGAAAATTGGGGAGTAGAAGCTGAAAATGTCATGCTCGTACTGGTCATGTCCTTCTCCGGCAGCATTTGGAGCTGTGTCAATGGAAAATGCCCTTCATCCTTCTTCTCTCTCATGGCGTTACGCCTCTTTTCAAACGAAGGTGGAGTCGAATCGACCAAAGAAGATTACGCGAAATGTACCAACCCTAATAATCTTCTGCTGTTCTGATTCTGATTCTACTACTACTACTACTACTACTACTACTACTACTAGTAGTTCCACTGAATCTTCAGAATCGGCAGCAGTGGCTCCGCCGGTGATAAGGAAGAGGACGAGGTATAGGAAGCAGTATCCTGGGGAGAAGGAGGGGATTACGGAGGAGATGAGGTTCGTCGCCATGAGACTCCGTAATTTCAATGGTAAGAAACTTGACATCGATGCTAGTACTAGTGATGATGATGATGATCAGAACAACCTTTCCGATAATGAAGACGGTGGTGGTGGAGAGCATTGGCAGCCGAGCGTGGAAGGTTTTCTCAAGTACCTTGTTGATAGCAAACTTGTCTTTGACACTGTCGAGCGCATTGTTGACGAATCCAAAGATGTTTCTTGTGAGATTTTCTTATTCATTGCCTCTTAGATTTCATTCTTCTTCACCACCCACTAATTTGTTCTAATTGTTTAAAGCCCCCAAAATATATATATATATATATATACATTTTACTTCTAGCAGTCCAAGTTTAAGACTCTATTTGGCTCTGTCGAGTTGCATGAAAAAATAAGCTTACCCACAATCAAAATTTTGAGTTTTTATGAGGAAGCTTTTTCCCCCTGTGATTGAAAAAATGGGCTACCCTAAACCCTAAATCCTAAACCCAATGCACTAGTGGCAAGATGTATGCAGCCTTAACCCCATTTTTGGAGAGGCTGTTCCTTTTTGTTCTTGACTAAAGATGGAGACATCACATTTGTTCCACCTAAACTTACTCCTATGGTGCTTTTATCAAAGCAGTCCAATCAGGGAAAGAACCTCTTGTGCATAAATTTTGAGAGGGGTAAGATACAAAAGCATGGTAGAAAGGATAGTTAATTGAAAACTTGGTATTTCACTTTGGTTATTAAATCAAGTAATGTGTTCTCTATATTGAAGTTCTTTCTTTTTACATCTCATGAGCATCTTACAACTATTACTGACCCACAGATGCATACTTCAGAAAAACTGGACTGGAACGATCGGAGAGCCTTTCAAAAGATCTGGAATGGTTTAGCCAGCAGGACATTGCGATTCCCCTGCCTAGCAATCCCGGAATTACTTATGTTAAATATCTGGAAGAACTTGCAGAGAAGAGAGCACCTTTATTTCTCTGCCACTTCTACAATATATACTTTTCACATATAGCAGGCGGCCAAGTGATAACAAAAAAGGTATCTTATTTGACTCGTTGGTGCCCTTCATTCGGCTGTTTGGTTCTTTGAACTTTGGTTACCATTTGTTGTACTAAATATGTTAATCTGATTTGTGATGATTGGCTGTATACTAGTCTTTTCTCTACATGTACAGTTCCTATATGTAAGCCTGTAAAAGAATTTTGTGGAATGGGAGCCGCTATGTTGAAATTGGGCTTTAGCGTGTGGAATGAGTGAATAATAGAATGGGAAATGACAGTTCGTGAAAACAACAGCCGCCCTAATTCGTAAAGTTGTGGGACGTAACAGAATGCAGAAATTGGTAGTATGAGAAGCTCCCAAAGAATCATTTGTCTTATCTGATATAGGAAACTATTTGATATTCATTATTTTTACAATCTTCGAAAGCTCCTTGTTTGCTTCTCTGTTCTTGCCACATGAGTTGATATTGCAACAGTCATTTCTCTGCTTGTATTCCTACTTCTACTTCCATTTCATATGCATTCCTCAAACACACAGATTTGATTTCACATTTTGTTTTACTTAAATAGGTCTCTGAGAAGATTTTAGAAGGAAGAGAGTCACAGTTTTGTAGATGGGAGGGGAATGCGGAAGAGTTGTTGAAAGATGTGCGAGAGAAGCTGAACATGCTTGGAGAGGTTAATGCATGCTTATTTTGATTTGGATTTTGTCCTTTTGTGGGGGAATTCACTTGATACTGATTTTTTATTTTTTGTTTTTTGTAATTCTCATTGCAGCACTGGTCTCGAGATGAGAAGAACAAATGCTTAAGAGAAGCCACAAAGTCATTCCGGCATTTGGGTCAGATAGTCCGCTTGATCACTTTATAAAACAATGCCATTTTCAGATCGAGGCTTCACTAATTTTGAATGATTTATAAAGCCTAAACTCAGCGCACAAAGTGGTTTGATGGATTTGGGATGTCGTTCTGTTTTCTAGATTTACTTCTCACATCTATCATTGCCATAAGATCGAGATTTAACTATGTTTTTTCATTTTACTTTCCTAGCCTTTTTCTTTTCTTCTGGTTCTATAGTCATATACAACATTTGTAATCAAAATTTTGTTTTATGGCATTAATGATGCCTTTGCTTTGTTCCCAAATCAAACATTGGGGTGGTTGACTAGTGGAATTGATAGAATGGAATTTACACAACATAATATGATCAACAAAAAAGTGTTCTAAACAAAACAAAACAAAAAGCAACAGTAAAAATTTGTTTGAAGAGAATTTCATTTAAAAGCATTGCATGTACATCAGCTAAACTTCTTTTTTTATTATTGATTTTGATCTGGTTCTAGTGTAGAAGTTTCTAGATAAGCGCAGAATTTTTCCCAAAAACATGAAAAGGTTGTTATTGAATTTTCAGTTACTGTTTTTGCCACCAAAAAACAAAAATGATACGAACACAGATATTTTTAAACTTTTTATTGTTTTTGTTTCGAGAAATATGTAAAACAATACCAAACGGGTTAGAATTCCTTGATGTCAATTAATTTTCACACGAAGCAACCCCAGTAAATGAAGAGGTTGCTGATTTTGTTTCTGTACGAACAAGTCCAAATGTAGACTGATGTACATCAACTGCTACTGAGAAAAAACTAGGATCAAAAAATAAAACAAGAAAACACTTTGACGTGTTTGAATTAACCACTAACAAATTAGCTAGTAGATAAGAATGGGCCAAAATCAAATGGATCATACAAGAAGAGTGCTCTACAGTACTTTTTTCTTCTCATTGCTTCCTAGAGAATGTAAGTTACAACTTGCTTACAAATATCAAATTTCAGATCAATGACTATTTGATCCATTCATTGCTACTCCTAAGTCAGGTTTACCTTTTTGTTGAATAATAAAGTGATCAACAATCCGAACGGTGCTTAATGGATCCTGCTGTGAGGAAACGGCACGCCATTTGCTTGGAAATCGTCTGAGGTGGCTCAGCTGCTGCTCCTGCTCCCTTGGCTCCCCATCCCACAGAGGATCCAGCTTCCATTCCTTCGGAACCTACGTGTCCAAATGAACCAGTAATATTTAGAATTGATGAATAGGAATGAGTCTGAAACAATTTAAAAAGCAAATAAGAGCAACTAAAGCACATTCTCACACCCATGCCCGTGCGCACACAAAAAATAAAAATAAAAATAAAAATAAAAATAAAAATAGCTAATATAACTGCAAGGGTAAAAAAAACCTCGAGATCACCATCACAGTTTTAAATGATTTCATTTGACAAAATCAACCACCAAAAAATACCGAGCATTGGCTTCTTACCTTATCAACTGCAAGGGTAAAAACCTCAAGATCACCATCACGGTTAATATGGAAGCGTGTGAATGCCTTGTAATTAGCAATACGAAGAGAGGAAAAGGCTTCATCGAAGTGTAGGTGAAGCCAATTAATGCATATGTACAAGTAGCTTCCAAACACCAAAGAAACAACTGGTGTGGAGAAGACCCAGAAATAAAGGAAGACAGAAGCATAGTAGATAACTGCACCACCTCGGGAGAGTGAATCCATCCCATTCTTGCAGATGTTGTTCCTCGTAACAGCCATGACCTGAAAATCCCTCCCGATGTCAGTACAGTGAAAAAAGACAAAAAGAAACAGAAGATATAAAAGAATTTATTTTGTATCCCATCTCAAAAAGACATTCTCACCTCTGGAACATCGAATGCAGACATGAGATACTTGATACACGCTGGATAAAGACCGAATGTCCACTGTTCTATACGAGCCCGAAGGCCAGTTGGGTCTGGAAAATGCTCGCTTTCAACTGACCGATACCATTCATATAGAGTATGATAACCTATGATGAAACTTCCAGTGTTCAGTCAACATACTGACCATAATGATCAAATCCATATGGCTTCAACAACCAAATTACTGATTCACTAACTTATCACGTATATATATGTTGCACCAAGTTTAGATGACTATTCATACAATTTAAATTGTCAAGTATCAATGCTTCCTTTCCCAATAAATTTAATTACTAGTACTTCAAGCGTAAAATATATTAACACTGATCTTCTCAACACAGCTTTACATCCATGGTAGCATCCACCGTCGAGGTCTGGAACATATATAATTATATGGCTATGTCATCAAATTTTGTGTCAGATTGTGACATATTTATGTATACCCATAGCAGGATATGAAACGTATCAAAATAGAGAAAGAACACAACCCAAAAGAAATATTTGAAAAAAAAAAAAGAACTAAATGATTACAACTGATAATACGCTAAGGTAAAAATGCAGCACTAAATACACGTAATGGAAATGCACAAATGCTTTCATTTTGATAACATCAAATGAAACATGAAAAATCACCTGAAGTTGCTAGTAGTTTGTGCTGGATACAAGTCTCAACACCTAGTTCCAACAGCAACATGAGAATAAGTGCTGCAGCCAAGTGTGCAGAAACATGAAGAACCCCAATTATCACCCTTCTTTTCCGAGACATTTTGGACGGGACAAATGTGAAAGCAGTTATTAACAATAGCATGGCACCCGCTGAAGACACATACGAGTGTCCCAGTGAGTACATAAAAGCATCCCATACCAAGCTAAAGAAGCTCGTCAGTTGACCAGAAAATGTATCATCCCGCAAGATATGGTCCAACTTACACTGGAAAAAGGAGTGGGCATAATCAGTCATCTCTTTGTAAAACAATAATTTGACATATACTTTCAAGTTATTGCATTGTTTGTTTCAACAGAAAACATTTTCCAACAAAAAATATTTTTTACAGAAATTTCCAAAATATGTTTTCCAAAGAAATCTTTTTTCTACGTTTGGTTGTGAATTTGAAATTAATGTGCTACTGGTTGTACTAGTGGTGGTGACAATGGTGATGGGGTGGTGGCATTAGTAAGACAATAGTCTATAAAATATTTTTCACTTTTTTTTGTCCAAATAAGCTTGTTTTCGGTTGACCACGGAAAATGCTTTCCAAATGACTTTAATTTACTGTCGTACCAAACATCCAAAAATGTCAAAAATGGTTTATGCCGAAACAAACAGATCATAAGCAAGTCTGAATTTTCTTTTGTAAAAATAAAATTGAGTGAATAAAGCAAGCAAACAACACTAATCTAGGACAGGCCCGGGCAAAGTAGAAAGGTATAACTTTTGGTAACTTGAGGAGAAAAGTGTTTCAAGTCCAACAAGGAGAAAATGATAAACACGGTAAACATCAAGTCAAACAATACCAAAAGTCCAGCGGCATCGCAAAAGCCTAAGAGAATCTATGAGGAACTCACCTGTGGGAACATGGAAAAGGCCAAAATAAAATATATAATGCCACCAATAAAGTCAAACTGCCAATTTTTCTTTCGAAACTTCAATATGTTTCCCAGGGCAATCTGCAGCACGATTACCAGCGGATTATAGCATTAGCACATTATAGCACCAATGAATACAACAAAAAAAACTGTACAACGTAAACATAGAAATGTCAAGGAAATGGAGATTCTTTACCCTGCTTGAATCTTCAAAAGAAGGATAAGCAGCCTGGCTCTCATAGGAAGTTCCATATAATTTGTTAAAATTACTGAAGACGTGTGTGGGATGCAAAAAAGCACCACCACAGCCGTTAACAAGTAAATGTTGAACGTAAACTGGCTTATCTGATGGAACGTATGAATGACGCATATAGTGATGCAAGTCCCCAGCTATACGAACTTTACACCTTCCTTTCAAACAGTCACATATTAGATATGAGACATTCTTCCCTGTCTTTGCATTCCAGTAACAATCAAGAAGCCAGTTCGGTTCATGTGTCATGATGATGACTGAATCATTCTCCCCAACCTGGATACAACTTCTTCCACTTAACAATGAATACAAAATGCAAGTCAAGAAAAGAAACCCCATATACTTTTAATACTATAGCAGATATGACTAGAATTCATTTACACACACAGCCAACTACACGATAGGCACAGAAAATGAGGATACACCTTCAGGAAAGAGAACCACATGTCCGCTACATGAATGGCACCGTGAAGTATTGGCAGATATTTGAGATCTTGTGAACTAATTGTCATAATGGTTAATTACCGGAAAATGGCATTCATGTACATGGTTCTATATATAAAGGATCAAACAAACTTTGTCAAATTGTTTAAGTTTAGTTTCATGAATTCACAAATTCATAAGCACTGCTGTTACTACAATAATGAACTATATGTTTCATCATAGCAATCAATTCAGAATGCTCAAGGCAATACATCAAAAACCAACCTTCACAAAGAACACCATTTGTCATCAATATAATATGGCATCATCATAAACAAGTTTATCTACCACTACCATTTCCTTTTCCCTGGTGAGTATGGCCCAAGCAATCATCATAGCCCATGAGATAAAGACAATAGCACAGGATCACTAGGACTATGGCCCATAGGGAACTTTCATCTATCGTTTTTCACACTTACACTGTACAAGCAAAAACTCATAATCCAATATTTTACATCATGATAATTGTATGCTTTACAAACAACTCCAACAATTGAAAGACACATACTTATCCAAAGAAACTGTTTACATACGTTTGCAGCATATTATATGACAAAACATGCAAATGCAATGTTAACACAAACTGTACAATCTTTAGGTAGACAGAAGATACCTTTTCCTTTATCAATTCTGAGAAGAATTTGAATTGGTATACATCTATATCACAGTGGAGAGCGAGGTCAAGACCAAACACCCACCACCCTTTAGGTAGTTGCAAAGCAAAGTAGCTTTTCCTCTGAGGCATAAGCCATCCACCCAACCAGCTCTTATGACAAATGTGCCTTATAAAGGTTTGAAGTCCATCAAACCAATCTGTAAAACCAAAAAAGAATTATACCATATCAACATCTAAATATCAACAAACTTGAAGAAACTAAATTCTAAAGACACCAGTGATACCGGTTCAGAAGGTTTTACACTATTAAAAGAATATTTAATTAAGTAGTCATGGAAAGAACAATTAGAGAAAGCTAAGACCATGAATTAAGACCAACCATGGTTTCCAGGGATAGCAAAACACTGAGGTCCATCATACTGCTTCAGTTCAGACACCCAACTAGGTAACTCTGGCTTGTTTACAGCTACATGCTCTTCTTTATACCATGGTGGAGGCTGGAGAGCGTATTCAAAAGGACGAAAGAAGCGATTTTCATATGTAAACCCTGATGGATTAGGATACCTGTATGCCAACCAAAATAAATGGATAACATACCACAGGTCCCTGCCCTGATTTTAGGGATGCTGAAAATTGATGGTTAAAATCACAGAAAATAATGGGTACAAAGGTGACATATACACAAACAAAAATCTAGAGGTAGTACATCGTAGCATGTTAGAAGTGATATCATTGCTGGTGCCACTGATACATTACACAAGGCAGTGTTTAAGATCTTGATGCATTGCTGGTGATAGTGCTAATGGCAAACCGGAGGGCCCTTGTCTAGCACTTGCTAGGTTTTACCCCATCTTCGCTCATTCCATCATATCTCCTTAAAGAAGAATTGTAAATGACATGTTCCATAAAAAGTTTCCAAACCATCAATTGAACACTATATTTGGAAGGACATTCCAAACCCAAACCCGAGGACACACCCCAGAAAAAAATAAATAATTGTATTTAGGAGGCAACAAACCCAACTCCCCCAAATTTAACCCTTAGGAGGCAACAAATCCAATTCCATTCCAAATCAAACACAAACCTGATGATCCATTACAAAAAGTTGCAACCAATATCATTGACTATTTTACTTAATAATGACATCCCTAAAACACAAGTACTCCACAATGCAATTTCTTGAAATGATGAATAGATTACTTGCATGAAGAATTTTAAGTGCAAGAGATTTTTGAATGAGAAGACATTTTTAGAAAGCTTTATATACATTATTGGGTCTATTTCTTAACAACAAAAAAATTTTGAACAATTAGTGGTCAAACTGGTATTTTAGCTCTGGTTCCAAGAAGTCTTCGATTCTTGGGCTCAAGCCTCATAATCAAGGTTCTAAAAAGCAGTTGCGGTCGCCGTAATGGTGGCGGTGGCGCGGTTGCGGTTCCAGGATGTAAAGGTTGTAGATAACGGTTGCAGTAACTGAAACCATGAATTTTTTTATTTTTCGCACAATTTGAAAAAAACTTACCGATACGCATATTTTTTTTCCATGATCATACTTATTGGGTTACAAATAAATATTGATCAATTTTTGTAAATTTTTAAGTATGATCCGATATATTTATTATTTTTAAATTACTATAAACTGAGTTTTTTACATTTTATTTTAATAATTAATGACTTTATATTATACAAAAAATCAATCACTAACTATTATATATAAGATAAACAATGACAAAAATAAGAGAATAAATAAGAGCCTAAATATATATATATATATATACATATTTTAACCAAGCCAAATAGATAATGACCACACTTATTATTATTATTATTTTCAAACAATATATAGATAGACACACACAAATAAAATGGTTGAGTGATAGCAGCTGAATAGAATAGCATAGGTCTTACAGCTTCAATTCAACAAATCAATAACATATTCTTCATCTTCCCTCTTCTCTCCCTCTATCTCTTGCTCCTCCATTTTCTCTCTTTATCTTCCCTTTTCTCTCTATCCCTCTGCCCCCATTTTCAGCTTTTTTTTGTGTGTTTTTTCGAAAGAAACAGTTTGGAACCGTTACGTAATGGTGTTACACACCGTTACGGCTGTTACAGCACCGTTACGACTGCTACGGCAGCCACTACGGCCGACACACCTGTGAATCTCAATCACACTGCAAAAGCGGCCGTAACGGGTGGCGGTAACCGCCAAAACCGTTACGTAACGTAACGGTTGCGGCCACTTTTTAAAACCTTGCTCATAATATATGTTTGTTCCCCCATTATGGTTGTTACTGTCAACTCTATTCTATATGCACCCTATAGCATCACCCTCATAAAGTCATAGGACTTCTACAATTGAAGTTCAGGCATCCTTGTAAGGCTAATCAATTGACAATGCATTGCCACTAACCAGTCAACTATTGGCTATTTACTCAACATTTCAAATATTATAAATCATAAATAGGTATATGGTCAAGCTTACGCAAGATCACCCCCAATCAAGAGAAGATCTCCACGTGGCAGGTTAATCACTTTATCCCCACTGCGGAGCCGAATGGAGGGTTGAGCAAGAAGTCGTGCCACACTATAAGAGGAATTTCCACCATCACCAGTATCTGCCATAAAGTCAAACCATATATCATCCTTGTCACTGAAATGATTGTACAAAAGATCGTTCTGTTGTGTTCCATCTTGTACCCTACTCATAGCCGCCTTATGATTGGAGGAACAGAAAAACAAATGAAAAAAAATGTCATTAAATTAGGAAAATAGCTTGATCGATAAAGTTTTTAGTTTATTATACAACTGCTGAAAGAATAAGACGAGCTTGCTTTGCACAAAATAGAACATTGTAGCATTACATTTCTTCCACAAGCAAGGAATAATAGCATGGAATGTAAATCAAGCTATCCAACAACAACATGAGATCAGTTAATAGCATGGAATAATAAAAACTACACCTGCATCATACGCATATCAAAACGCCCAACAAACACAGTAACTGATACCAGGAGGTCAAAAACTGTCTTGAACAAATCAGCTGATGTCCTGCAATGGTCATGAGCAACATTGAGATGATTGACAAAGCTTTTCCCCTCACCTCCTGCTGCCCAATTCCCACACCTCACACACACACACAAAGTAATGGAAATAAAAGAAATGTTAATTTGATAAAGGAACACACACCCTGAATACCAAGGAACCATATCCAAGAAATCTGGCTGCATTTGCTTTTTCTTCAACTTCTCACATTCTTTGACTGATAATGGGTGAGTAAGAGCCCATCTGTTGGTTGTCAGACATCAATGAAATATAAAACAGAAGACAAACAGAAATGAGAGGCTTAAATTGTTTAATCTTAAGCATACTGAACACTTGCAAAGTTGCAACAATATTCATACTTTTTGTCCCCATATTCAACAATAGAGAAACTACAAGATGCCAAAACTATCCAAAGGAGCTCTACCAGCAAAGTTTTATAAGTTGAAGATAGGCTGAATTCGTGATGAAATCACTTAATAAACCAGTCCAGAAGCAGGTTAAAATCTACAAATAATCAGCATCACCTAATCAGGTGCAGGGCTGTTATTCATTTGTTTTTATTATTATTCTTTAATAAGAGTTTTGTCAACTGGATAATGGAACAAAACCAAAAATAAGATCAACCCTAACGCCATAGCTTTAACTCTAAACAACCAAACCTTCCCCGTACGCATGGGGAAATGGCAGGTGGGCATGTCAAAACAACAACACGCATAAAGGTACTTACATTGTTCTTCACATGAATGATACAAACCAGCCGAAATCAATGAGAAGCTTAGCTATCAGCCACAGAACTAAAATTAAGGGAATAATATTAAAATAAAATGGTAGATTGACAAGTGCCCTATTATAAGTCCCAGTTACAGTCAACATGAAATGAAGAAAACATAACGTATACAAGTTACCACTCACCCTGTTGATCTTTCCACCACATAATTGGCAATGTAGAGGCCTATAAATGTGGCCCATAATGAATATATGGGAGAAATTTCATTTGATGATCCCGCAGATGAGCCACTGCCATCTAACTGAGAGAGAGAGAGAGAAAGAGAAGACATGTAATAACAACATAAATATCCTCCATAACGAGAACAATAAAATATTAGATGAAATGAAATATATGGCCAAAGACCATACCTCGCCATAAATAACCCACTTAGACAAAAGTGGATAATCACTAGCAGACCCAACTGGAGCAAACCACGATGAGCAGATCTCGTCTTTTAATTCATTCATGCGGAGTAATTTTGCAAGCAATGTTTTTTGCTCTCCTTTGGACAAAAAAGAAAACCAACCAGAATTTGTTCCTTCAAGTGGTTTTTCCCTCAAAATAGCATGGTTGCCACAGTAACTATAGAATACACAGCAGGCCATACTTAAAACCTACACAAATAACAAGAGAATTAAAAAAATAAAAATAAAAGAACCATGTCATACACTCTTACTTGCAGAAGACAGACCTAGAGATTAGGGTAAATATTTCAATTTAGTCGAATACATCCTCCGGACTCACCGCACAATTTTGAAGAATGGTCAGGATTGCAGGCCTCCTTCCAGCAACACGAGCAACAAGACCAACATACCAGAGGCCAATAAATATAACATGGAAAACAAGAAGAAACAAAATTGATGAAACGTAAATTGTCAAAAACAAAGAGAGATTCATCCTCATATCAACACCCATTGATTGAAAACTGGGAAGATGATATACAGCTGCCACTAAAATCCAGGCTATATACCTGCAGAACAAAGAGTAACCAAATTAGCAATACCCATGAGCTTAATCTAAGAAATTTTGTGAGCTATAATTAATGCAAGTGTGTGCATAAAAACATAATTAACAAAAACAAACAGAGCAAAAAAAACTTACCACCGACTGAAATTTGAATAACTTGGTTTAATTGTCTTCCCTATGAATGGAGACGAAAAGAAATAGAAAAAACCAAGCAGACAAGCATACATTGACCACCATTTGATATTGTTGTCTAACTTCTGTATGAGAGTATGCATGTTGTCTGACGAGATAAAGAACAGGCAACCGAAACCCACAGCAATAACAGCATGGCGTGAATGCTCATGTGGGTAAGGATATGTGTGAGTTAGAATTGTCCTGACCCTCTCCATTTTGAGGGTATCTAGTAAACCAACAGACTGCCAGTCAGAGCCCACCAGATAATCTTGCATTCATGTTACTTCACTTGATTCAAATTCTTGCCAAGAAACTTTACTTTGCAGGAACTAAATCCACCATAAAGAGCATGTAATGAGTCCTGAGTACAAATTCAAACAACAAATTAATAAATATATCTTAAATTTTCAAATTTTCTTCATTCAATTACTTGTCTGTTGTCTAAGGAGAAAAAAAATATGTGGGTAATTGATATGACAGCTAGGGTAGCCAAGAAGATCACAAAACCTTAAATCTAGTCCAGTTCTACATCCTCATTCAACATAAAGGGGACTGTTCCAATTTATCCACACAATAATAATAATAATAAAAAATAAATAAAGGGGACTGTTCCAAGTAGATAGAATGGGACTCTTCACCCAGTCAATGTTCTGGTCAGACTGCAGATCTATGTGAAACTTTCGCTAATTGTTTCTATTACTAATAAAACTACAAGTGGAGGCAAACACAACGTGTTCCAATTTAATAAAAAAATTATTCAAAATTATACATCAACAAAAGAAAAACAACCAAAGTCAAAAACAAAAAGAAAAAAAACGGAAAAGCAAAATCAGCCAATTTATCAAACAACAGCCGAGATTAAATCTCACATACATATAGATTTCTAAGGATACATTTATGTACTGTCTCAGAGAAGAACCAACTCAAATTTGAGTCACCTCACCTGAGGTGTGTATTAATGTTTGCAGCAGAAACCTCCGCTGTAGCAACCAAAACCCAGTCAAGACAGCGGTTTTCCGGCCAAATTCTAGCTGTTCTCTGGTCAATTTACAATGATTTAAGTTCTAACCAATGGCAATTTGCCGCTGCATGTCCTACGATGGTTGACATTTGAACATGCAACAGCAGATTGATATATATATATAGAGAGTGAGAGAGAGCGCGCTGACCTGCGCAGAAAATCTGTGAAGACGGAGAGTGACAGCCATTGTTTCTTTTCTGTTGGACTGCACTAAAAGAGAGAGAGCTTACAGGGGGTCGCACTAACAAAGAGAGGGCACACAGGATGGACAATTGTATACAGGATAGACTGCTGTTTCTTTTCTGTTGGGTTTGCCACCAATGTAAAATGTATAGTGCAAGTGATTAATTGGTGCGGAGGAGAAGGTCCACTGTGTGACAGGGTTGGATACCAATGAGTTACAGGTGATGGGTTAAGGGCACGAAAGCCAACCCCGGGCAACTGAAGGTTTTGCTAACAAATGGGAGTTTCAGAAATTGAACTGGATCTGCAGGACCCAAAAAAAAAATTTGAAAGTGATTTGAACCGCACATGATAGAATAGTTTGAGAACCTATCTTAAAAATAAAAATAAAAATAAAACCGTATCGGACATTCAACACTTGGATAAGGTATGGAATATGTGTACATGTGTAGTTATATAGTCAACTAGCAAGCGTATTTAGTAATTCAATTTGCAATGTAACTATGCGTGAAACTCCCATATTATGCATGAAATGGTCCATGGCACATTGGTAACACCATTTTAGTCTAAAAAATAAAAGAAGTATTTTGAAAATATGAATATGCTGTCATGTCCTTCGATATGAGAATTAGATAAATCTGACACCTAAACACATACTCACACCTAACCCTTGTACACATGTCCTAGTAGCTGAGAAGCATGGACACAGACACGTAACACGACACGGATACGATACGGACACGCTGACACGTTAATTTTCAAAAAATATAGGACACGATACGTGGGGGACACGCATGAAATATATAATTTTATATATTTATTATATATTATATATATAAATATATCATTCAAATATAATATAAAATGCAATATGACACTAATTTCTATAAATTTATATGGGTTTTGTTTTATTATTATATCTTAAATTGTTGTATTCAAACTTATAATTAGTTTCACATGTGTCTAATCGATAGACACGTGTGTTTAAGTGATTGACACATGTGTCCTCCAAGTGTTCAAAGAGTGTTTGGATCTTTAAAAAAAATTTAAAAATAGGACACGTTTTGAAGAGTGTCAGACACATGTCCTAAGAGTGTCCAAAGAGTGTCGGTGTCCAACACGAACACGACACGGATACGTCACCTTCTTAGAAGTGTCCGTGCTTCTTAGCCTAGTATCAATACAAGGCTTAGGAAACACCAAATCAGTCTCCTATTATTAATATGTGACTGCCATAAAGGCTATTAAGCACAATGCTGGCAAGTACTGTTCTTTAAAAGATTTATTAAACTGACTTCCAAAGATGCACAACCCATTACCAAATAAGATTGTAGAGCAGCACATGTAATCGTATTAATCAAGTTTACATATGTTTTTCCCAAAATGACAAACACCCTTTTCAACCTCGTAGTTAATATGAACTCTCACTTGGTCACATTAGACACGCATTGGTGTTAAAACTATTCCAATTAGGGTTTTATCAAAAAAAGAAAAAAGAAAAATGCGGAACCCAGAATTCATCTATACAAAAACTAGGGTTTGATTCAAGAATGAATAATTAAAGTAACAAATTAAAATGTTGCGCTTTACATTACATAAACACATTAAATCGATGATTTCCAAAAATAAAATTAAAAAAACCCATTGCACCCAAATCAAACAACAACCAATTGCACAGTAACCACCAATAAATTTAGAGAGATAAATAAAAAAAAAGAAAGATTTAGAGAGAGAAAGGAATACCAGAATGGGGGAATTGTAGGACAGAATTAGGATCTGAGAATGTCAGCGAAGAACCAACAAATGTATTCGGTCAAATAAAGAGGACACGACCATGATCTTTCTCAATTACAAGTTTCTAAAACTGCTTATATTGTGCAAGCGACGTGTGTTTCTTCTCCATTGTTGTTGTTTTCTCTGTTTTTTTGCTTTGATTTGGATTGGAAGTGTGATGATGGGAGTGGCAGAGCGTAAACAAATGAGGACAATATACACGTGTTCGTACGTTTGGGTGTTTTGTTTGGGACATCATAGGACGACAAAGCACGTGCTCTTATTACCTTTGTGTTTTGTTCTGTGTGTAACAGAGTAGATTGGAAAAGGACTTGGGGCTTGCTATGGGCCACTTCCTTGATCTTTGTTCATTTGTTTTTAGGGAAAAGTTAGGGCATGCTGGGCATAATGGAGTAAAATAAAATCTGAATAAAATGAGGGTAAGAATAGAATATAAAATTGAATAGAATAAGATGTTCATTTTTATTTTATTGTTTAATTGTCAGCCTGAAATGAAATGAAATGAAATGACATACGAATACCATGATAATTCTTATTTTCATATTTAGTTATACCTATTAAATTCATGAAATGGAATAAATTTTATTATTTATTTATTTTTTAACTAGTTAATAACAAATAAATTAAAATTTTATATAGATCATAATAATATTAATAGTTGTGAGAATAATGGTGTGAGTCGTAGTAATGGTGGTGGTGATGACGGCGACATCGGTGGTGGTGATAACAATGATAGTAGAATTTTAGTAGTAGATGGTTGTGGCCTTAGTAGTGATGATAAAGTGGTGTTGTGGTTGCAATAGTGGTGGTGGTAGCAGCAGCAGGGGTTGCGGCGACTAACGATAGTGGTGGTGGTAGTAATGGTGACATCAATAGTAAAGTGATGGTAGTCTGGGTGTTTGTTTCAGCTTTTCAAAACTAACTTATGCCTTTTAGCTTTGAAAAAGTTATTTTAGACTGTTTGGTTAAAACTTATTTCAAACAGTTTCTGATTCTAACAGCTTATTTTAACTCAAAAAAGCTGATTCTGAGAAACTGTTCACCCCTTACTTCTGATTATCAGCTTCTGCTATGGACATATTAATTTATAGTTATACTCTTAAATTTTTTTATTTTTTATTTTTTTAAAAATAGAAAGGCCCAAATGGACTATAGATTATTATTATTATTATTTATGAGAAATGTAGACAAACAAAAAATAAAAATTAATTAAAAAAACTATTTCACAGCTTATTTAACAAACACTACTCAGCAACTTAAATCTATAATCTAACAGCTACACCAAACAGATTAACAATTTCTGATTAAAATCATAATCTATAATCTGTTAAGCTATAATCTATAAGTTGTTTTAATAGTTACACCAAACGGGACCAGTATGGTGGTGTGGTGGTTGTGGCAACAACTGTGGTGGTGGTAGTAGTGGCGATTGTGGTGGCAATAGCATAGTGGTGACGGTGGCGATATGGTGGTAGGAGAATGGAATAGTGGTAGTAATTAAATAATAATATTTTTTTAAGTGTCAAAAAAAAAAAAAAAAAAAAAAAATTATGATAATTTCATGATAGAATGGAATGTCCATTCTTTAGATTGGAGGAAAGATTAGACATTTTCACATTTTGTTGGAATGACTATTCTCACTTAAATAAGGCGTACTAAATAAGGAAAATAGAATGCAAAGCTTGAATGGGCATTCCAGCCCATTCTATTGTACTAAACGTAAGTGTGTATCATATGTACTTTATAATTACAAAATAATTTTATATTTTATGAGTTATAATTAAAAATAAAAATAAAAAAACTCATAACTAAACATAAAAAATGTTTTAAAATCTCAAAATAATGTCAAAATTAAAAATAAAAAAAATGGTCATAATAAAATAAGAAAATAACGTAATTAAATGTGCATATAGTATGGAGTGTGTATAATAAAATTATCCTCAAATATATTGAATTTGTTGGATAATTATAATTATATAATTTAATTACATATTATATTTATAAAAAAAATTAAACGTTAAACATGATTTTATTATTAAAATTTTTATTTATTTAAGATAATAAATTATGTGGCTATAGTTATTATTATCCTTTTTTTATGGATTGATATAGAAAGTTAAAAGTGAACAAAATAGATTAATAAAGTGAAGCCCATGCTGGGTCAGAAAGACGGTCCAACTCGCTTTATTTGAGAGTTATTTACTTGGAAATTAATATTTGTATAAAGTATTCATACAAATTATCACCAAAACGTTTAGCAAACAGAATCGAATGGATGGTTAAGATTGTCTATATGTAGAAAGTTTGAAGTGAACAAAATAGAATGAGGACAAATTATTTAGAAGTCCTATTTAATAGAGGAAACGTTAATTTAGTCCCACAATTTTTTGGATATTCTCAAAAATTCACTACATATTTTTTTTCTTCATTCTTCTTTGTGCATTTGTTCTTTTCTACTCTTTCTCTTCTTGATTTTTGGCGACCGACGATCATGCCTTACTTCTTCTCTTTCTCATTCTAATATATAATCACTGGTGACCGACAACCACCATTGATTGGGATTTATCGGTAACTACCGACTACTGATTCCTTACTTCATCCTCACCTCACCGATGGCAAAAGAAATGAGTTTTCGGCGAAGAAAATAAGCAGATCTATATAAGATCCGACTAGATCTAAATAAAAATTAGTTGTCGGAGTATAATTTTCTCTCTATATCTGATTCTCTCATTCGATCTCTCAATTTTTCTACCTTTTTTTTGCTTTACACTTCTATTTTCTTATTTTAATGGAGAAAATTTTCAAGTTATGAACAAGTTGTTTTCGAGTTTTAGTTACAGGCCGTAAAAATTGTAAAATTTTATAGTTTCAGTCATTATAATGCTGAAATGAATCATGATTTAAAATTGTAAAATTTTACAGTTTCATAAAATTATTTAAAACTGTAAAATTTTACAGTTTCACAACATGTTTTCCAATTTGATTATTAAGGATAAATGCTTAATAGAATCATACTTTGAAACTGACACATTTTACAGTTTTAAAGCTTACTCTTCAGTTTGATCAATGTTGGAGATTATTTGCTTAAGTCCTACAAAAATTGAAAAATAATATATATTTTTTCTCATTGTTATTGTTTGTTGTTGTTATGTTTTTTCTTTTTCTCTTTTCTTTTTAGTTTATCAATATTTAGCACATTTTGTTATATTTTTTTATTATAATTTCTCTATTTATTCTTTTTTTTGGGGCAATATTCTGGACATTCCGTTGAGTCTTCGACGATATTTTTTACGTCTAGCGAATATTCTGGACATTCCAGTGACTTCCAGTGATATTCAGAACACTCCCACTACAAGAAAATGCATTTTTACTGACCATTTTTGGCTACCAAAAACAATTTAGTCGCCAAAAGTCACGGAATTGGCTACCAAAAATAATATTAGTCGGCAAAAGTCAACTTTTTAGCTACTAATTTTTTTTAGCAGGGGAATGTTGATTATTGGCGACTAAAAAAAATTTAGTAGCTAAAAATATTACAATTGACGACTAAAAAAATTTTTAGTAGCTAAACATATCACAATTGGCGACTAAAAGAAAATTTAGTAGCAGTAGAGGTACCTTTAGCTACTAAATTGTTTGGTAGCCGAATGAAAATAAAAAAATTAATTTTTGATCTTTGCCGACCAAAATTTTGGTCGCCAAATGTTAAGTTTCGGCGACAAAACTCCGTTTAGTCACTGTAGACCTACTTTTGGCTACTAAATTTTTTAGTAGCTGAATGAAAATAAAAAAATTAATTTTTAATCTTTGCCGACCAAAATTTTGGTCGCCAAATGTTAAGTTTCGGCGACAAAACTCCTTTTAGTCGCTGTAGACCTACTTTTGGCTATTAAATTTTTTGGTAGCGCGAATGAAAATAAAACATTAATTTTTAAATCTTTTGCCGACCAAAATTTTGGTCGCTTCAAATGTTTAGTTTCGGCGACAAATTCCTTTTTTAGTCACTGTAGACCTACTTTTGGGCTATAAAGTTATTTGGTGCCGATGAAATAAAAAAATTAACAAAATAGTTATTTTTTTTTATTAACACAATACCATTGTCTCCACTTGAATTTGACTAACCAAAATAAGTTATTTTTATTTTTATTTTTCTTTTTATTGAGAGATTGTTACACACATCCAAAATATTAATATCTTATTTATTTTTATTAATTCAAAATATTAATTTTTTTAAATTAAATCTATTGAAAATATGAATTTCTTATTTTGTCTTATTTTAAATCATTAATAATAGCAAAAAAAGTACAAATTTATGCATTGATACTTTCTAAAAAATATACTATCAAAAGGGGTTAATTTTGAAAAATTAATATTTTTTAAATTGTAATAAATTGTATTATAAAAGAAATTAAATTGAAAATAGACTATTATTTTGAGATGAAGAGTTAGTTACGGGCTTTCTTTGATGGGTGAACACATTTTTTAATAATACTACAGAGAAAAGTGGGTTTATGAGACGGAACTATTTTGTCGACGGCACACTTGCTGTCTCAAACAAAGTCACTTTTTGTGACGGCAGAAATGCCGTTTAAAAAAAGCAGAGTATTTGCGACGCGCAATGTAACATTTGCCGTCTCAAAAGCGAGCATATTGCGACGGACTACTATTTGCTGTCTCAAAAAATGAGAGTATTTGTGACGGCAATTTTCTGCGTCGCAAAAAGTGATTTCGTTTTTTTTTTGTTTTTAGTGAATATTTTTTAAATTTTAATTATTTTTTTAAGATGCACGCTTATTTAGATGTATTTAAAAAATAGAAAATAATTATGAAAAAATATTTTTAAAAATTAATAAATACATAAAAATACAAAAAAAAAAATGTATTGAATTATTGTTTTTTTTTTTTGGTATTTAATGAATTTTTAAAAGATTTTTTTTTACAATTTTTTTATTTTTTAGGTGTATTTATGTTAGGTGTGTCTACAAATTAAAAAAAATACTTAAAATATTAAAAAAATTCAGTAAAAACAATATAACACGGAAAACAAGAAAGTATAATTTTCTCAAAAGAGTTTTTTAAAAACTCTAACCTAGCATAGTGATTGTGGTTTTGAGATAGCTTCATATATATACAGTCACAAAATGGTTTGAATAAATTCAACGGTATTTTTCTGTCGCAAAAAAAAACAAAAAAAAACAATGTCATCTTACTCTTTTAATATAACATTTCTCTTTTCATTCATTTTTTCATCTTCCTGTCTCTCTGTCTCTATCTCTCTCTTCTCTTTATCTTTTTCACTCATCACTCTTCTTTCTCTGTTTGTCTGTTTCTCTCTCTCATTTTCTCTCTGTGTCTCTCGCCTATCTCTCTTCTCTCTATCACTCTTATCTGTTTTCTTTCTTTGTCTCTCTCGCTCATCTCTCTTCTCTCTATCTCTCTCATTTCTTTTCTCTCTCTCTCTCTCGCTCATCTCTTTTCGCTCTATTTCTCTCTTTTTTTGTCTATCTCTCGCTTATCTCTTGTTTCTCTATTTTTTTCTATCTCTCCCTCTACCTCTCTCCATCTCTTTCTCTCTTTATCTCTTTTTTTGTCTCTCTATCTCTCTCTCTCTCCATGTCTCTCTCTCACTCATCACTCTTCTCTCTCTCTGTCTACTTGTCTATTTGTCTATTTATCCCTCACCATGTTCGCTTTGCTCACTCTCTTACTCCCATCTTCTCTATTTATCGAGCTCTTTCTCGATTTATCGATCCACTATAAGAAAATACACTTTTAGCAACCACTTTGTCTCTTTCTCTCTCGCACATCACTCTATTTATGTCTCTCTCTCTCTATCTTCTTCTTTATCTGTTTCTCACAAAATTAAAATATTTTAAAAATATTTAAATACTTAAAATATTTAAAAATTTGATTTGAATTAAGCTTTGAAAAGAGTTTTAAATTATGTGTTTGGTTATGAGTTTTGAAAAGTAATGATTATATTTTGAATTGAGTTTTGAAAAATGGATGTTGAATTATGATTTGAAAGCTCAAAACAAACACCATACTTAAATTAATGGGTGGAACTATGACCACTACCACTACCACTCTCTCTGTCTCTTTTTTTTTTCTATGTCTCTCTCGTTAATCTCTTTTCACTTTCTTTCTCTATCTTTTAGTTTATCTCTTGCTCATCTCTTATCTCACTCTCTTTCTGTCTATCTCTCTCTCTCCGTCTCCCTCTCTCTCTCACTCATCACGCTTCTCTCTTTCTGTCTGCCTGTCTGTCTATCTCTCTCCCCCCACTGTGTTCGCCTTGCTCACTCTCTCCCTCATCTCTTCTTTATTTATTGAGCTCCCTTTCGATTTATCGATCCACTATAAGAAAATGCACTTTTAGCGACCACTTTGTCTCTTTCTCACTCATCACTCTGTCTCTCTATCTCTTTTCTCTATTCGTCTCTCACTCATCTCTCTCTCTCACCACCCATATTCTTTACCACATTTACGACTACTGCAAATGCCATTCAACTACCACCATTCTTCTATTTCTCTCTTTCACTCATCACTCTTCTTTCTCTGTTTGTTTGTCTATCTGTCTGTGTGTTTTTCGTTCATCTTTCTTCTCTCTATCCTTCCCATTTGTCTTTTCTCTCTCTCTGTCTCTCTCGCTCATCTCTCTCATCTCTTTTCTCTCTCTGTTTCTCTCGCTCATCTCTTTTTTTCTGTCTCTCTCGCTTATCTGTCTTCTCTCTATTTTTCTATTTTTCTATTCTTTCTCTTGTTCATCTTTTTTCGCTTTTTATCTCTCTTTTTGTATCATTCATCTCTTGTTTCTTTCTCTTTTTCTGTCTCTCTCTCTATCTCTTTCTCTCTTTGTCTGTTTGTTTCTCTCTCTTTCTCTCCGTCTCTCTCTCTCACTCATCACTCTTAATAGAACGTATTTTTCATTAAAATATTATCCTTACTTCTACCAAATAAAAAATAATAATAATAATTTTTTATTCATTAAAATAAAAATGAAA